GGAGTAATAAACATACGAAACCCTATCAACATAGTCATCTTGACTACATGCTTATTCTAAATCTTTGCTGGCATGTGCCTCTTCTGTCATTATGTCTTTGTCTTCGGAAACCACGTGTAAAAAAGGCCAGACATTTGTCACAGAGGAAGCAATTTAAGATTAATCATATCTAGCATGTCAATAACTGTAACTGGGCTAAATATCATAGTTTTAAAAATACAACTGGATTACAAAGCAAAGACTAACTATAAGGTAAGAAAAGATATGTTTAAAACAAAGTGACTCACAGAGGTTGAATATAAAGAATGGGAAAAGGTATGCCAAATATAAATGAAAAGAAAATATGAATCCTCATCTTAGTGTCAGACAAAGTTAAAGCCAAGGCAAAGAACATTAAATGAACAAAGAAGGGTGCCATACAATTTTAAAGAGAACCACACTTAAGATCTAATAAATATGTGCCATGGTCCATGGGGCCTAGAAGGTTGTTTTTCTTTCAGTTTTCATTTTTTTATCTGGTGCTTTGGTGAAAAAAATTGGAATTTATTGAGAGATTTAAAAAATCAGGCGACTTCAAATAAAAAAATTCCATATATCTAGTTTCTCTTGTAAAATCAGAAAATCTGGCAATACTGGGCCTGAATTTTCATGTAGCATCAATCATCTAGGCAGGGGTTGGCAAGCTATGTCCTCTGGACCAAATCCAGCCCACTACCCAAAGACATCCACACTGAAGAAATCTATGCCAAGACGCATAGCCATCAAACTCCAGAAAACTAAAGACAAAAATCTTGAAAGCAGGAGGGAAGATGTAACACCTTAACTATAATTTCTTATTGGAAACCATGAAGGCCAGAAAAGAAATGGTGGAATAATTTTCATATGCTGAAAGAAAAGGGCTGTACACCCACAATTTGATATCCAGTGAAAATATCCTTCAGGAATGAAAGGAAAAGCAAGACATTTTCACATGAGGGAAAATTAAGAGAATTTGTCACCAGCAGACCTTATGTAATGAGATCAGCAGAGTGGTTTAAACGATACAGTCCAAAAATAGGTAAAAATAAATGAAACAAAATGCTGGTTCTTGGGAAAGATCAAAAAAAATGGACAAATCTCTGTCAAAACTTACAGAGAAAAAAAGACTGATTTAAAAACCACCAATTATGAGGCCAGAGATTTAAACGAGAGAAAACATTGCAGACTCTGCAGATATCTTCTCAAGCAAAAAAAAAAAAGAGGAAGATTGGCAAGAGATGTTAGCTCAGGGCCAATCTTCCTCACCAAAAAACCAAAACCAACCAACCAACTAAACAAACAAAAAGGATAATAGGATTCTACAAATAACTCTGCACACAAATTGGACAACTTATGTGAATTGCAGCAGTTACTCAAAAGGCACACTCTGCCACAAAATATGAAGTAGATAATTTGAATAGCCCTGTAACTATTTAGGAAATTGAATTTGTAATTTTAAAGCTCTGTAAAAAGAAATCTTCAATTCTAGATTGTTTTGCTGGAGATCAGCACCAAATGTCTAAAGAAAGGTTAACCCCAATTCTATACAGTCTCTTCCAGAAAAATACAAGAGGAAAATACTTTAGATTAAAAAAAAACTCAGATGATTTATAAGCTTTCATTTTATGCAACCATGATACTAAAACTTGACTAAGACTATCACAAAAAGGGAAAATTATAGGCCAATCTCTTTTGCAAACAGATGTAAAAAATTTAAACAAAATACTAGCAAATCAAATCCAGTGGTGCGAAAGGGGAATATATTATGTACATTTGCATCCAGGAATACAAATTTGTTTTAACATTTGATAATAACTTACCATGTTAACAGAATAAAGAATAAAAGACATATGGTCATCTGAATGGATGCAGAGTAAATGTTTGATAAAACTGCTGGACACGCAGAAGGGGGGTGTTACCTTGCTCCAGAGGGTGACCCAATGAGACATAAGACTCCTTCAGCATAGTGCTCTGCAGGCATGTGTGGGAGAGAATGTCCTAAACCTTTATCACCTGAGAAAGAAGAAAAGTCATCCTTTCCATGGGGTTCTGGACTGCATTAATGTTAAAACATCCAACAGATATCAGTCATTGCTATGTAGATTGGGATGGTCATCTATGTCCCTGGGAACATAACATAAAAAGACCTTAAGTTCTTTTATCTGAAAATCCTAACTCTTCTAAGAGGCTTATGTACCCACAATGGCCTGAACATTAAATATATAGTAGTGGGTTGACTGTGATTCACTCCAATGACAATCTTTTTAATTTGATGGCCAAGATACATGTGTGGAATAGGGATAGTGATTTTGGAAACAGCCTTATGCTCAAGTTACCTATGCATGAAGGAAGATGATTGCTTTCTCTGGCAATTGTAGGAGGCATGAATCAAGAATGGATCTTTATCTTATCTTTGTCTATATCATTTAAGAAATATTGAGTACTTACTAGGTTCTTGGGACTGTGAAGATAAAACATGGGCACTGTCCTCAAGGACCACGATGTAGCAGGAAGACAGACATGTAAACATATAGTTACCATATTATGTGATAGACTTTATGACAGAAATGCAGACAGAAACTATCAAGTCTGCTTATAGATCAGGGAGTTTCAGTTTCTCTGAAGGTAGAGATATTTGAACTGAGTCCTGTAAGATGAATGGAGGGAACAGAATGGCAAAGGAATGATTAGAAAGACCAAGAAGTGTTTAGGGAATGCAAGCAATTAGGTAAGGCCAGGCAATAAGAACATTTGAGACAGAGAATGAGAGAGAGAGGAGAGAGATTACATGTGTGTGTGTGATTCAGGGTGGTAGAAGTGAGAGAGTGGAGCAGATATTGAAGCTCAAAAGATATGCAGGAGGCCCTTAAAAACCATATGGAATGTGAACTCCGTTACAGTGGCTTTAAGCATGGGAATGGTATAATCAGATTTGCTATTTAGAAAGATCCCTTGAGAAGCAATGTGGAGGGTGGATTAGAGGACGGGCGCTTGTAAACCAAGACAATGGAGAAGGTAAATCGGATTGACTTAACTTCAAGATTAGTTGAATCTAAGAAACACTGTGAAGTTCAGGAAGGAATCTTAAGGGGATACCCAGGCTTTAGGCATGGGTGAGTGGGCATATGATTAGAATATTAACTAAGCTGGGAAATACAGAAGGAGAAGCAGCGTGAGAGTGGGCGGAGGAGCAAGATAAGGAATTCATGGTTTGGACCATGGTGGAAAGTGAAATCTCTTCTCCAACAGAGACTGTCGTCTTCTTATCTAGGTTAAGGACTGCTTCTCTGGTCCCTTCAGACCCCTAGCTCTGGTTCTAGTTTGTTCCATTCAGAAATTCTATCTTTTTATTTCTGGCTTTACTTGCCTCTATTACAGATACTCCCTAATTCTAATTGTTTCTGATACTTAACTCCAGATGAAAAGAAATGCTTACTTTCTCTGCAGCTGGTTAGTCAATATAAGTTTACAAGTCATCTCTGTGTTGAGAAACCCATGGCGTCAGTTCTCAGTTAGCCACCCTAATGTTGTAGGGCTAAGGTGTCAATTTTCCAGAATAATAAATAAATGAACACACACACACACACACACAACACTAGGCTTTGGAATCATCCATCTATCCATCTATTTCAATAAATATTTATGGAGTACCTACATAGAGAAGCCATTACTGTAGACACTTGGAAAACATTTTTATAGCGTAATTGTCAGGGAGACAATAAAAAGTAAACAGATGAAGAAATAATGTAGTTTCATATGGTGAGAAGAGTTTTAAGAATAAATCAGTACAGGAGGACAGAGAAATGGAGGATATGTTTTAGATAGGTAATAACTGATGAGAAAAAGCGGCTCATGCAAAGATCTGGGAAAAGAGCAAGCATGTATGTCCAGGAAGCTGGTATGCGCAAGGAACAGCCGAAGGTCAGCAGAACTGGGACGTGATAAATAAGAGGGAGAAAGCAGGAGGAGAAGGGGTGAGAGCCGGGCAAGTTCCTGGGGACCCTTGTAGGTCAAGAGAAGGAGCGTGTATTTTACACTAAGAGTGAAGGGGAGTCAGGTGGATTCGAGCAGGAGAGAAGCGTGAGCCGCTGTTGGCCTTGGAAGACCCATTCTAATTACTGGTCAGAGAATGGGCCCGAGGCAACAAGGGTGGTGTTAGGGAGACCAGGAGGGGACAGTTGGAAAGATGAGATGGCTCTTGTCTGAGTGTTTCTATTTAGAGAAATAGAAAGTGAGGCATCAATTGGGAGAGAGCTATGAGGACACCTGTCAAGGGAAGCCATGATATTTCAAACTACAATTAACAATTATAATAATGAAAGCGAAATGCAACATTCATTCATCAAAGGTGTTCCACGTGCCTTTATTCTTCTCTACAACCCTGTGAAGTAGAAGGTCAGGACTGTTATGTAACTTCTCCAATGCTGCCCTTGCAGTTGGTGGCACATCTAGAACTGAAACCCAGCCCTGCTTGCTGTCAACACTGAACCCCTACAGGCTGCATCTCACTGGCTACGGAGTTTAAATGCTGCATTTTCTAAGTAGCATTTAGGATTTTTTTTTTTTTTTTAATTTCCAGGTTCATTAACCGTGGAATCTCTTTCAACAGTGTGTTTCTATCTTCCGAGGAAAGAGAAGGCAGATTCTTTCCTGTGACACTTCTTTGTTCTCTATTGTCATTTTAACTTGCCTATGCAGTATGTAAACGCAAGGATGCTTAACTCTTAAACCCAGTAAGTGATCGTTAGCAGATGAACACAAGTGTAGAGGGTTTAGGTTGAGTGGGGGCGTATGGGAATGTAACCGGTGATGATAATGTGATGCTCTATTTTAGAACCAGCAGGACTGCAAGGGCTCTGATTGCTGGGAAGTAAGTGTGTCTATACCTCAAAAAAGGAAACAAGGCCACACCATGAGGGTGGCCTAAGTCAATTTAGGAGGAATGGAAGGTTACTGAGCTTTTCTATTCTGCTTTTGTTTAGAACTCCTGTCCCTCCTCCGTTCCAGCAGAAGATTGTGCTAGCCTGAGAGGTGAGACTAGGAAGCACTGTAAAACCACTCAGACCGTACGTTTACTTTCAAATTGGTTGATTACACCCGTCTGTGCTTCAAGAATAGTTGCTTGTGAAGGAAGGTGGCACAACCAGCAAACACCTAAAGGCACTGAGATCATCTTCTTTCAACCGCCCTGTAACACCCTTCTATTACAAAGGCAAGCCAAGAACTGTCGAAATTATGTTTTTTCTTTTCCTCTTCAGGATTTTTAAAACTTGACTTTACCCGGATAAAGTTTATTTTTTGAGAAATGGAGGACCAAAAACTTACCATGTGACCTTGCTGGTTAGGCAAGTAGGGTTACTACTAAGCCTCAGCATTTTCTCAGTTTGATTGGGGATAAACTGAATAAAAGAATAACTGATAAAATGGAACCCTGTCAGAGAGTTTTTGAGAGGATTTGATGAGAAAATCTATGTAAGGCGCTTAGTAAGTTACCTAGAATACAGCAAAGATTTGATCAATGATGAACTATTATGGAAGTTTCTTTTCAAAACATCTTTATCAGTTAGTTGTGATTCTTTGATCTTGTACCCTTCACCCTCTTTAAAATGTCTTATTGGCTTGCTTTCATTTTAAGAGCTGTTTATCTCTTTTTAAGGGCTTTTGAATATAAAACATGGTTAAGAAACTGAAGTAGGATCTCTTCTGCGGCAGCACCATGTTCTAATATGCTGATCAAACTGCACTGGTGTTAGGAGGTGAATCAGGATGCTGAGCAATGAGCCTGAGAATCCTGGCACTGGATCTGTCCCTGGGTTACTGCAGCTGGTATAAATAGCTGTGAATTTCCAGGTGATTCCCGAAGGCACCACACCCTAAAGGAGGGAGGTGCAGGATTTTCTCTGCTAAGGGAAAACAGCCCAAAGAAAACATCTGTCTCTTCACTGTGGGAAGAGCACCAGGCATGTTCCATGGACAGCCAGAGCCAGTGAAAGCAAAGCCCACTCACTGCATTCTTGCAACAGCTGGGAATCTGTCCTTGAGCTTCATAGATGGCATTTCCCAGAATGTCTACACAACGTCCTTGGAGAATGGCTGTTGGGTAATTGATGATACAGGGACCCCACAGTTGTACAGAGCCATCAGCCCCTCCCAGGGAAGTCCAGAGATTTGCAATAGTCAAAGCATGTGACCCCCTCGGAGAGTAAACAATAACACAAGGGTATGTGAATGGACAACAGGATCTAGAAGAGCGGTACTCTCCCATTGGCCTTTAAAGTGTATCTTGGATATATCTCAACCCCACCCTTTTAATACTGCTTTTGTAGTTTTTCCCTTTAGGTTGATGTCGCTGATTACCATGGATGTTTGGAGGCCGGCAGAGAATGAAATGATCTGGTTCTCTGGAATGTACTGTGTTGGGAAATGGCTTCATGGTAGAGACTGGAGATGTAGAGATAGCTCAGAAAGTGGCTGTGCTTTCCTGTATCCTGGGGTGTGAGGGCAAGAAATTGAGTAGTAAATGCTACTTTTTATTGACAGCTCACTATCTGTTAGGCATTGCACAAAGGATTTTGGATGCCTTATCTTATTTAATCCTCATGACAAGTTAGAAGCAGGGGCTATGATAACTTCCCTTAAAGAGGTTAAACTTGCTCATGGTCACACAGCTGGTATATAGTAGAACTAGGTATTGAACAAGACTCTCTGATCCTAGAGGCTGTACTCTTAACCACTAAGCTAAAAAATTATGACTTTTAACTAGGCTTAGAGAAATATTGGACAAAGCATACTTCGAGAGCAGCACCTACATCTTTGACGAATGTCCTTGATTCTGACTAAGCTCCCAGAGGAGAGGGTCTATGTCTTATTGGAATTTAGTATCCCTGCACCTGGGTATTGGTCCACAGTTGATAACCGATAAATGTTTGTCAGTTGAACTAACTGAACTGATGAGTTCTATGCAACAGTTTCTGAAACTATTAAGAAGTTTCTTAACTGTTAAGAGATGTTTCCACCTTATATTTTTGCAAACAAAAACAAATCACTAACTTCTCCCAAGATTGGAATCCAATTCAATTACAAACTCTATTTTTGGCAAGATGTTGAAGTTAGAAACATTGTCCTTCTCTCCACGTATTGCCATAAATTATTAACTTTCTTTGGTCACAAGTACCTATCATGGTGCTTGGTATGTGTTTGGATGATAATATGTAACCACAGCTTAAAAATATTTGCTAAATCAGGAATGTACCCTTTGCAAGGCTTGAATTAAATATGTAAGGAGACAGTGTTGCCAGCCACCAATGCAACATTGAGGGAATTAGTCTGTTTAATGTGGGTTGTCACATTTAGGCAGTTATCCTCTTATGATTAAGCCCAAGAGCTCACTGGAACAAAACTCAGACCTTTATCTATGATTGCGTGTACACCAGTCAGTCCTGATCAAGATGAAAATAGGTTTTTCCTAGCGGTGTGCTAGTAAATGTTTAACCAGTGGCTCTCCTGAAAACAAAAAAAATCTCTGTTTTGTAGCATTGGCTGGTTTGCCTGATGCAATACACGCTCTGTGGTTGGTTTCAATTCCATTGAAGATGGAGTTGAAGAGATACACACAATCATCTCTCTTGAGATAGTCCGAGTGGGCTCCAGCTCATCACTTATTCCTCCACAACTTCCACCAGGACTATGTGTGGTTCCCATCTCACCATCTATGCATACAAATAGTTACTATTCTGGTTCTCTCCTTATCTGTGGATAATGCTAAACTGAAAGGTCTGCTGACACAGCCCATTATTGTGGCTTTTTGTCTACTGAACATTTGAACTTCATGAGCCAGATTTTCAGCATTAGGCTCCAGATTCACAGGCAATTCAATTTCCTGTAATGTTTTACCTTAGACAGAGAAGTAGCTAGCCTCCAGGAGGACCCCCAGTGATCTTTGCCTCCTCGTATTTATACCCTGGTGTTATCTTTTCCCGCATTCCGTTGATCACAGAATATGGCAGAAGTGGTGATGTGTCACTTCCAAGATTAAGTGAAAAAAACCATTCTGGCTTCTGTCTTAGTCACACTTTCTTGAACAATTCACTCTGGAGAAAGCCATCTGCCAAGTCATGAGCAACCCAATGGAAAGGCCAGTGTGACAGGGACTAAAGCCTCCTACCAACATGGGAGTGAGTCTGGAAGCGGGTCTTCAGCCACCGTCCAGCCTGCAGATGACCACAGGCCTGGCTGGTACAGCCTCATGAGAAACTCTGAGCCAGGACCACCAGCTAAGCTATTCCTAAATTCCTGCCACTCAGAAACTGTGTGAGATTATAAATATTTGTTGTTTTAAGCTGCTAAGTGTTGGGATAATTTGCTACACAGCAACAGATAATACAGGCAATTTCTTATTTTTAAGACCAATATTTTGTCTTTTATAATAAGATTTATTTGTATGACTTTTGCCAACATCACTCAAATTAAAAGTTCTGTCCTTATTAATTCCTTTGAAAGTGTATTTTACACACATTATTCAGTCCATTCTTCCCTTCCTCTCGCTCCTCCATCACCTCTTTCTCTTGTCTTTCAATTTCGCATCTAATGTGCCTTCTACAATAGCTAAGCAGTGGAGTCTGGTAGCAGAAGATACATGGACTTTGATTTTTGAGGTGAGAGATTTCCAGTTCTGGCTGCTGTGTGATGTCGAACAGGTACTAACGCTTTCAAGGTCTCAGCTTCCTCATCTGTAAAATTGGGAAAAGAGGTAACTTTAAGAGGTATTGTAAAGATTAAGAACAGTTAAATACGTGAAACTCCTAGCACGATGTCTAGCAAATAATGTGCATTCTGTAAATAGTAGCTATAGCACAATAACCATGTGACAATAACAACAAGGGCGGTGATCCCCAACTTTCATGAAGATTCCTGAGAGTCCATATAGCTCAGCCAAAGATGTTTCAAATAAACTGTTGTGAGGATGGTGAGAGCAGAACACACTCAGTCCTCATGGTTATCCCTCCAGAGTGAGAGTGAATGGCTCTTTACCAGCTGACAAGTGGGGGAAGGAGCCATGTCAACCATCAGGTGCAGGTTGAGTAGGGAGGGCTACGAGCTGCCTTGATGAACTCTACAGGCATCATCTGTCATCTGCCATCCTTGAATCTCCAAAATCCTGGGCCTGGAAGGCTCGGTTTAGTTCAGTAAACCATTAATTGCTAGACCCACAAAAGTGAATGAGCCCCTGGCCTTGTGCCAAGGAGTAGATCATCATAATCCTTTGTGCTACGTGCACTGGTGAATGGAGATCTGTCCCTGGTGTTAAGGGCTCAGGGAAGAGCACACCTATGTCAGACTGAGCTGTATGGGGTGGTAGTCAGGGAGGGCTTCCGGGAAGAGGCAGGCCCAAGTCAAATTTTAAAAGATGAGTTTCTTTCTCCATATCTTGGCAGGACAGGACTCAAGTCATTCAAGTTAGCTAGGTTCTCACTCCTTAAAATCTTCATATGGAAGTCTCTTTCATCTGCTTTGGATCTCGAGCTTCAGGAAGAAAGAAGCATTTGGGTAGGACTGTCTGAGATGTAGATATCCTAGTCCTATAAATGATATGGCTCTTTTTTTGCAGGGGGGCGGTGGGGAGAGTTTGGGGGATTTGTTGATTCTTAAAAGAAAATATTTGATCAACGGGAATTAAATTTCTACCAGAAAAGGGCTGATTCTCTCTGGTCCCTTTGCCCTTTCCAGCTTAGCACTTGTAATTGTTTAAAGAAGAGCTAAGATTCTTATCCTGATATGAAGCTCTCCAAGAGCCACAAAATGAAGACAAGTCTTATTGATGGTCCCAAAGCTCATGAAGAAGCCAGAGAGAATCGCCTAGCGTGGGACCATCACCCCAGCCCCGCAGTTTTATTCCTTCTAAGTCAATACGCTTTTCTGAGATGACCCAGGAAACTGTTACAGAGTTTGGAAACTAACAGATGCAGTTAACTCTCAACAACAAATTCCTGCCTCATATTTTTGCTCTCAGGTCTTTGGCTCTCAAAAGACTTCAAACTAAGCTCATGCCTCTTCCTAGCTCCTGTGTCTGGGAATGAATATGGGGCCGTGTGGAAACTTTATCTGTGGTGCAAAGCTGCTCACTCTTTTGGATAAATAAAAGGGACGAAGCCTGTGTTCCTGGGAGAGAGTTAGGGCTTTTATCATCGTAGAAAAAAGAGTTACTGCCCTAAGGTTATGCCTTTGGTTTGGGGAGAGATGAAGAACTGAGCAGTCTTTTAGGAATATCCCAGTAGTCAAATCTTGTCTTTCAAAGGACTGAAGGTGGCTGAAGGACACTTCCAAGGGGCTGAGAGTCGGAGGTCCCCACTGATGCTAATGGTGGAACAGCGGGAGGGGGCTCAGGGTGGCCTAGGGTGGAGATGCCGGTGTGCTTTGGAAGGGGTGGGACGGGCCCATCAGAAGTAGGAGACAGTCCTATTTAATCTACTCTCTGCTCCACAATCTCAGGTTTGGAAAACTGCCATGGGACTTGGCTTTTGTCAACCATTAGGATGCCCTGGGAGACCACAAAAATCCAGCTAACTCTAAGAAGACGAATTCTGTGAACTCTGGAATTCCTCAGCATAGCAAGGTGGACTATGATTGGGGGTCAATGCCTACACACCCAATCCTATGTTACAAAAAGATTATAATTTTATTCAGCATTTCCAAAAGGGTATTGCAGGGAATACTGTTCCAACGATGTTAATGGAGGAATACTGTGGAAAAAGTCATCTGTGTTCAAGCAAGTTTGGAAAATATGTGGTTAAGTGGAGTTAAACTTTATTTTCTACAGGATTTCTCATGGTTTCTCATCTGCCATCTTGAATTGTGTATCTCCAAGAGGGAGACTGTGTGCATATTTTAAAAGTCAAGTTCTAATGTAAAAGGTAGATGATGCTTCTACTTTTGGGTTATACCAGTAACACACCATCATGGGCACATTGCTTAAAACTGCAGAAACACAGATATGGATCTATGTATTTTGTGTGAATGTGTATGTTCTAAAAAAGAACCAAATAAATGCCTATGAACAAGGAAAGGATTAGTGGTGGTGGGGATGGGGACGGAGGGGTTTCGTCTTAGAGATTTAGAAAAGTCAGCATTCCTGATTGAAGGTCAAGTGTCCATGGTTCGAATTCTAAATCATTGGGTGACCTTGTGAACATATCTGGTTCTATTTCCCAAATGCAAAGCAGAAATGTAAAAAATAAAGGCATCTCAAGCTTCTGTTACGAAATATGACAAGGATTAAACAAGCCCATGCCATTAAAATGTTTTGAGCTCTGTGGTCAAGTACACGGCCTAATGACAGGGTATGGTCTTGACCACCAGCAGGATTAGCAGAGGGGTTTGCCGGGCAGGCACAGGCAGACTCTGTTCCGCCAGGACTGGGGTCAGGGTGAGTCACACCCTGTGTGCATAAACATGCAGGCAGGCACGCAGGCTGCACCCTTGGGCTATAGTGGCTTACAATTCCAAAATACAAGCCTGAAGTCTCAAAAAGAAAGAAAACCTAGGATAATGAGAAGGTGGCCTCTCTTTTGTTGCAGAGAGAAACATGACAAAATGGCCAGCCAACCTTCAACCAGCATGGTATCCTCCTTTTCTATTAGCCTACAGGTTTCCCTCTTCACTGGGGGTTTTATGGGACTGCCTAAGTGGTTATTTGCTTAGAGCATGCTCAGTCCTACCAAAGAGATGGGAGTCCCAAGAAAGGACACTCCAAAAAGTGATTTTTTATGTTGGTGGTGATGGCAAGCTTGGGTACATTGGGCAT